TCCTGCATCGAGCCATTTGGAAATTGCTTTAAACTTGGTTTTCTCACTCATGCCTCCCTAGCGTTTTCTGTCCAGCAGGAACTCAAAGTACTCCGCTGTTGCCTGCGTCAGCATCTCACCTCGCAAACATAGATTTTCAAAATGCCTCGCAATCGGTGGAAGACACGATTCCACCAATTGACGATTTTGCACTACATTGGCAACTGACCACACCTCTGCCACGTAGGCTAGAGAAGTCTTTCAGACAATCAGTTGTAACTCTCAGAGAAGCTTCGCCTACCTCGTTCTTAGGAAATCCACACACCATTCAATGATGGTGGCGGAGCCAAGATTGCGTGCCAGCAGGTAGAATCGTGTTGCATTTTCTGCCGAAATTGTGATGCTGCCCGTGTACGCGTAGTTGATGGCAGGCTGGACAATGGTGAAATGAGGTTAACAATGGAGAAAAATGTTTAAGTACTCTTTAGAAATTCGCCTTTACTGGACTGCGATTTCACGGCGTTGAGAGGCTAATTGTTTCACCACAAATGGATAAGTGGCTGCTACTACCAGTCCGTGCGCCTCCACACGATTCCCATCCTTTGTCTAGAAGTCGAATTGCAAATTCCATGTCCGTCAAATTACTGTGATCCGGAGATCAAGTAGTTAGCGCAGTTCCCCTAAAAAACAAAATTTTTGGCTTAGAGATGAGCCAGCAGACTCATTGGAATAGCTTACCGTCAGTGATGCTGATAACGTTAATGCTATTTAGGATGCCTGTTGATGAGAGGCAATAAAAGAACTTCATCCCAGAAAGAATCTGTCACGAGGTCGGAATTTAAAATATGTCTGCTCTAATTGTGTTAGAAGAAGCAAAGCCACGTAATGACACTGCACAAAGAAGAGTACGTATCTACAATAGCCCTGCTGATAGTGGGAAGCGTGTGAAATTTCGTGTGTGCATATGCGTGCTTGAAGTAGTTGTAGAGTGTGGAGAGGAGTGGAGTGGCGTTGTGGTGGGTGTAGGAATGTGGCGGACCTGAATAGCTCAGTCGGTAGAGCATCAGACTTCTAATCTGAGGGTTCAGGGTTCAAGTCCCTGTTCGGTAGCGTCGCCGTCGCGCTAGCGGTGGCCCTCTCCGCCTCCTCCTCCAACCACCTTCCTGCCTCCTTCCCTCTACCATGCGCCAGAGGCATGGTGCAGCCACTATGTCGGCCATCTGGATGTGCTTAACTCTGCTAAGCTTGGATAGGCTAGGCGCCATGCTGCCTGCGCGTGCGACACATTACAGTGCTAGACTAGGCTGGGCTGGACGCCTTAGTAGGTGTTGGAGCAGTTGAATAAAAGGCCATTAGCAGTACACTACAAGTAGGCGAGTGGAATAGAGTGGAGTTGTGTGCAGTTCATTGCTCATTGCCTCGAGTGGTGAGAGGCAGCATTGGTCCCTAGTTAGATCCTCCTCAGCTTCGTCCATTGTGCAAACTAATTCATTAATGCCATTCTTCTAGACGTATGAAATGGGTAATCGCTGTGATGTGGCCATTTCCTCCCTTCTGTACTCCTGCTACACCAGCATGGCATTCATCCGTCTCCTATTTATCAAATTTGCTTCCAGGCCAATTTTACTACCCTTGTATAGACACGAGTGATGGTCGACACACTTTGCTGTCCTCCAATCCACTTCGCATATAGAACGAAACTGTAATTCTAGTTGCAATTGTCTCGTCAAAACTTTAATGAGATAGCTTTTCTTCTGTATAATACGCGTTAGCCACTCTTGTGTACTGCCGCGCCTCAGTGGCGTTTTCTACCGAAAGACAACCACATTAAGGCGGAGGAGATGCATACTACTTATGTCAGTGCTCTTTATTATCACTTTGGTGATGGAAGCCAACTGTACACATTTTCATTATGTTTGGACTGTCATGTATAGTTTTGGACTGCATACAGCCAGTTGGAACCTTTTATT